TAGACCTGAAAATAATATAAAGATGTTTAAGAGGAAAATGGTGTCTCACATGCAGTAATGAAAAATTTTTGTTAAAAACTGAATGAAGTAGAGGAATAAAATGCGCTACGAGACATTCGCCTTACCGCTAACACCATTTTGCTTTTCTTGCTGCGAATCTGTGTATTATACGTATTTGCTTTTTAAGTTTTTTCCCCAATGCAACCAAACGTGCACGGGTCACGGTAATTATGTAACAGAATACAGAAAATGTTTATCGGCCGTGATAATCGAATGTAATGTCTATTCGTCACGAGTGAAACTGTTTATTGAAATCGGGATCCCGACTGAACGAGAATCAGACACTGCTTCTTGTCGAAGCAATCGTTACCGTCTCTCCTCCATGACGCCGAGCAATCCCGTTCTACTATCGCATTTTTCTCACAGTTTCCAATATTTCTTACAAAGATAGCCAATTAACAACAACGCCTACAAAACGGCTCGTTACTTATTAGCAATGATAAAAACGAATTACCTGCGCGAAATCTTGCTCGAGATCGTCGGCGTACAAATCAATGTCACCGTCCGCCATTTTACGTACACCGACGCTCACTGCATTTGACGAAGGCGCGAAGCCCGAAGGAATACGCTGTTACAGGAGAAAACGTGTTAGCGAATTACGTTACGTTTTCGTACCGAGCGGACGTGACGTCACACCGCCATCTTATTTCCCTTCTCGAGGTAAACGATAATTTCTATTGGAACTATGGTCTGCTCAAATGATATCGGAAGAGGTAAATAAAACCATGTGATCGAAGTCTAGGGAAAAAAGGCCGAAATCTACGATTCTTGATGTATCCCATAATGCAACTGTTTTACTGCAGATACTTATGCAAATTCGTGTTTTCGTGAATAAAATTAAAGAAAGGAAAACTAAAGTTGTTCAGACGTGTAACTTACTTCAGATATTTTATTTTAATCTCGAACGTTGCGTATATTCTATACAATACTTTGTAAATGGAGTATTTCGTAAATACATGCACGTTCGCCTATTCAATATGCCTATTCAATATGTATGAGTCAACTCGTTTTAAGTCGAGTAATTTTTATTTTGTATATTACAAAAATACTAATTTTACGGACAATTAAAATTACTAAACTTTCACCGTAATGACAAAATATAATCAATATGACTGCCACTATTGAAAAATCGAATACAATATGAAAATTATACGCATACGAATTTTGATATTTTTGTATAATCTATACGTTATCTATTAGTATGTAACATATTGTATTTCGTAAAATATAGTTTTTGTAATATATTTCAAAATAGAAAGCAACTTTCATACTTGTCTTTGGCATTGTTACTGGTTATTGAGATGTATTACTGTAAAAATGAGATACTAAAAATGAAGAACGACCATTTTTCAGAAATTAAGTATCGAGTAATTAAATTTCGATTAAAACGTAGCAAGACACTGTTTGTCATTCATTTTTAATAAAAATATAAAGGAGAAACAGGAATTTCTTATAGTGATAAAAAATAATTTACTAGCCGGTTTACAGCAGTCAATAGTTGGAGTATCACGTGACCAGTTAAAATTACTTCTGATTCGATTGGTCGAACAGTCTGAATGAACGTTAAAAAAATTTATTCAATTTGAAATTTCGTTTCTCTTTAAAGTTAATGGCGTACGATATAACGAAAAAATGCTACAATGCTAAGAATCTAGAGTCAGTTTTTTCTACCATATTCTATAGCATTTGTCAAAACGTACAGTTCAAGATTCTTTTTCTAACATATAAAAATTTGAGAAATCTTTATTGATATTTTGTTTTTCTTAAATCTTTTCAAATGTACTTATATTTTATTAAGTTTCGGAAAGCGAAAACTAAAGATTATAAGATTAGAATTATTATTAAAAACTTATAATTTCTTAATTCTTAATCATAAATCTATTTTATCGCATAGTTTCAAAATTATTTATTTCTTTCCATAATTTTACGATCTACAATTCTTCAATTTCTTCTTGCAGAAAGTGAACATCTTAAATAAACATTTAATTTAATTTATTACTAACTATACTTCCTATATATTTGTTATGTTAAAAATCAATTAGCTTCATATTTGAAAAAATTACTTAGGGATTTTCCGATTTTTTAAACTTCGCATTTCAAATTGTACAAATTACAATTTTTTTAAGTGACTCATTTTAAAAAGTGAACATTTTAAAAGAACTCTGAAAAATATATTTATCCAGAAATTATAATTTTTTTAAATATAAATTCATTATGTCAAAAAATTTTATTGACTCTGCAGTTGGAAAAAGTATCTAGGGACTTTTTGGATCGCCATACTAGCAGCACTTGATGACAACAGAAAAGGATAGAAGAACCAATTTCGTATTGCGAGTGTGCGATTTACTATAACGAAAGTACCGACACAACGACCGGTTCGTTGTTCGTTCTGTGACTCTTCTTTTGTGCAGTTTTAAAAGGTACGTTTGCCCTTTATTTTAACACTTTTATTCCAACATTTAAACATGTAAATAATTGTTTTCGCTCGAAAACAATCGTATTTCAGTTTTTTTGGCTTCTACGCATTTACCATCCTAAAAATTGTTACATTTCCTGTTCGTCCCATGTGCACGCTCTTTGTGTCGTGAAACTAAACCTTGCGATAGTTTCGTGATTTCTGCACATTTCTGTTAAATATACGACAAAGATAATAGAACGAGCGTTTAATAAACTGACGTAGCTGATTCCAATGATTAGACGGTGGATTAATATAATTTCCGCTATTTTTTTTTTTTTTTT